GAAGGACAACCCCGATTGCTAGTAAGAGAATTCCCAAAGTCTGATCAAAGGGGTGCTGCATTCCTGTCACTGATGTGCTATTAATGTCTGTCATGGGGAACGGAGAATCTTATCCTCCCCTGGGCTGAACACTTCTTAGATTCATCGGCTAGTGCATGAGAAATCTGCAGCTGGCATGAAAGGGGCATGTGGTACCTGCAGCTCGCTTTCCCCTTCACGTTCACACAGACTCCATCATTCTGGCAAGGGTTTGGATCACACGCATCCCCCATATTGGATGACCAAGCTTCAAGGGGGCCAGTGTTCTGGGCTGACCTTCTCTGCCTTTCAAGAATGAGGCCTCTGGCGCTGGGTTGGGCTAGTTTAACGGGGACTTCAGTGTGTTTAAGATAGGTGAGATCTTGTAAAAAGAGGGAGGGAAAGAAAGTGGTTAATAATAACTGACATTATTGTACATTGTGCTTTTCATTCCAAAGGATCCCACGGTGCTTTACAAACAATAGCATATTATCTCTCCTTGCTCCGCATGGGGAGCTGTCTCTGGTATGGGAGGAAGATCTGTAGGTGTAAAAAGAGAACATGCCTCTTCTATATAGATAGAGCTATCTCTCTCAGGGTTTGTCTACGCTGCATTCCTAGTTCGAACTAGGGATGCAGTGTAGACATACCCTCAGTGTGTATATACATATATTTTCTATATGTGAATGAGACAGGCAGAATTGACCAAATTAACTAAAATCTGCCTGGAATGTTGAAATCCGGATGCATATTTTGCAGTCTGAATACCACCAGTAACACATGTAGGAATCACTTCACCAAAAACTGAGATCGCTTGGTGAATGGCGTAAATGCAAGACTTCTGTGGCAGCTGTTTCTGAAATGTCCTCACACAGGGCTAGCTAGCAAGGGGGAACTACAAGGTTTTAAAACATGGATGCCAAGTTGTCAGAATCAGGAGGGGGGTTATTTTATTGGGCACTGGGGGGTTTTCAGGTGATGCAAACGAGACAGGCTGCACATTAACCCAAGTGGAACCAGACAGCTAGCACAGAAAGTTGGCAAAGTTTGGAGGGACTATGTAAAGGAAAATCTTAAAGCAGAAATAGGTGACTCAGATTATAAAGGATTTCACTGAAACACAGTGGAGTACAAAGATCAATTCTATAGGGATACAAATCCCTGGTAATAAGAATAGATATATAACAATGAGGTTGTTCTCACAGCTTCCAGATCAGGAAAAGGCTCAGGAGCTCCATGAGGTAACTAATTGTAATGAAACAGTAATCAGTGGTGATTTCAAATAGCATGGTATAAGAGGTCAAATGTTGCAATGGAATAAGGATTACACTACGGCTACACTACAAGCTTTTTCTGGAAGAGAAAATGCAAATGGAACGCTCATTTGCATATGTCACTCTCATTTGCATATTCTCCTCCGATCCTTTTTGCGGAAGAGGTTTTTGTGCAAAAAAGTACTCATTGAGGAAGAAGGGCGCAAAAGGGGTTCTTTGTGCAAAAAGGCGCCATCTACACACTGCTTTTTTGCACAAAAATCTTTTCCGCAAAAAGGATCAGAAGAGAAAATGCAAATGAGAGAGTGACATATGCAAATGAGTGCTCCATTTGCATTTTCTCTTCTGGAAAAAGCTTGTAGTGTAGCCGCAGCATACTTAGAGTGGTAATTTCTAAAAACAGTGAACAATTGCTTCTTGGAAAGAGCATGGTAGAGAACAGAGGAGGAAAGGCAAGACTCATTTTAGAGTGAGTCTATTACACTTACAACACCGCAGCAGTGCACCTGCAGCACTATAGCTGCTCTGCTGTAGTGTTCAAATATTGTCAAGCCCTTAGTAATACACTGGAGTTGGGATAAAAAGTTAGCTGACCTCACAAGACAAAAGAATGGAAATTATGATTCTTAGACACAGGATGGAGGCTATTCAAACAACCTTTGCAATCTCTTCAACAGCAAAGGAAGCATGCAGGCAAGTAAAAGACAGCTGCGGGGTGAAATTTTCAAAAGTGTCTGAGCAACATAGGTGCCAAAGTTCATTTTCAAGAGAATTAGATCCCTTAGGTTCAGATCCTCAAAGTTGTCCTAGAAACCATTAGGCATTAGGTGCCTTGAGGATCTCAAACCCAGGACCCTAGATCCCAATGAAAGTCAATGATTAGGCCTTCTAAGGATTTTGACTTCCCTTTATTTCCATTGAAGCCAATGGGACTTAGGATCTAAAAGACAGAAGTCACTTTTGAAAATAGAATTTAGACTCCTAAATTACGGAAGTTCTTCTGAAAATGTTACCCCAGAAGATCAAATGGCAAGATTCAAGAGGTTCTTCGACCAAGGAAATATCCTTCCAAAAATGGACACCCAACCCTAAACTAAGCAATCAGGGCATAAGACAGGAATTAGCAGCAGGGATAATTGCTGGACATATAAGAGCTCATTGCATCAATCAACAGTACATCTTATTTGGAATACTGAGTTCAGTTCCCTTCCAGACATTATTTTCCAAACAGACCTAACAGGTCAGTTTTTAAAGGTATCTAGATGCCTGAAGATGCAGATTAGCACCTACTGGGGTTTTCAAAAATGCCTAGATGCCTAACGCTTATTGAAATTAATGGGAGACAGACACCTAGGCTATGTCTACACTGGTGCGATCTTGCACCAGAGAAATGCAAATGAGGCTAAGTGTGAAATATTTCTGAGCCTCATTTGCATATCTAATGAGCTGCCATTTTTGCGGAAGAGGCTCTTGTGCCAGAAGGAGCTGTCTACACTGCCCCTTCTTGTGCAAGAAAAACCCTCTTGCGCAATGCCGCTACGCTGATTATTTTCAGGAACAAAGGCATTGTGCAAGAGGGTTTTTCTTGTGCAAGAAGGGGCAGTGTAGACAGCTCCTTTCGCAAAATGGCGGCTCATTAGGTATGCAAATGAGGCTAGGCGATATTCCATGCTTAGCCTCATTTGCATACTTCTGTTGCAACAACCCGCCAGTGTAGACGTAGCCCAAGAAGCTCTTGAAATAAATCTTAAAAGGTGCCTATCTGCATCTTTAGTTACCTAAATATCTTTAAATTCTGGCCCAGAAAAATAGAAGGGGCTCAGAGACTGATGACAAATATATTGGAATGTCCATCAGAACTGATCTTGCAAGAAGAGCCAATTCAGTTTCATGAGGAGAAAGAAATGATTCTGTACCTTTGAATTCTGCAAAAATAATGAGGTCATCATTTTTTAGGAAATTCCTCTGTCTCAGCATTTTGTGAGAGATGAAAGTGCTCCATCCCCAATCTAAGCTTCGGTTACAGTTGCAGGAAGGGTCAAATTTTCCAACAAGGGATGGTTTATCCCACATCGAAGTACCATTTGTACCTGCAAAATAATATGGATTATGCATGCTGTGTTTGTAATCAGCAAAAAGCCTCGAATCAAATGTTATTCAGCAGTAGATGTTAAAGCCTTCCAAGGACCTTTTTCTGCATTAAAAAAAACTATTGGTGGAGTCATGCCACAAAATCAGAGTGAGATTTTGAACATGGTGAGAGAGTTTAGGGATTGTGGATTTTATCCATCATTATTGTTCTGTTAAAATTCTTTGCTAGTAAAGACATTAATATAGAAAAGAGCATACTGAGAAAGCAATGGAGAGATGGGGACTCAGCTGTTGGAGTTTTACTTTTCCATCAGACTCTCTCTTCTTCTTCTTCTTAGTTTGTATAAAGTATCACCGATGAGTTCTAGTTTTGGATTGGCATCCAGCACTGTGCTAAGTGATGTACAAACAGGACAGAAACACTGCCTCTTCCTCAAAAAGTTTATAATCTTAGTGTAAGGCAAGAGGCAATTGATGGAGACAGAGATTTGGATGGGTAAACTACTGGCTAATCTCTGGATGATAATAATTTAGAACTGCCCCAGATTTCAAACTATTTATTCACTAAACACAGCCATGTCAAAGTATTGGATGACAATCTAAATGTGATCAAAGGCATGTCTACACAGCAGGGCTAAAGCCGAAATAAGCTATGCAACTTTGGCTATGACAATTGTGTAGCTCAAGTCAAAATTCAGTAAAACCTGTGTTATCTGGCACACCCAGGGATTAGGTCATGCTGGTTTTCTAAAAATTCTGGGGGAGCTGACCTGCCATGGAGAAGGCCAGGAGGCACGGGGGCGGAGCTGGACAGCCACGAGTTGTGGAGGTGCCAGTCCTCCAAGAGCTGCAGGGGAGCCGAGGTGTGGCCTGGCATCAGGCGGCCCTCCCCTAGGTACGTACTGCATGCATGTCTAGCAGGGGCTCGGGGGAGCATCTGAGGAGCAGCTCGGTTTACATCGCCAGTTTCTCTCTTTTTTTTTTTTTGCTTTTAACAAGTTTTTTCCTGACGTGGAAATTTGCAAGTTTCTAAAGTTTTCTGGCTAGTTAAGTCCCAGATAGCACAGGTTTTACTGTAGCTTATTTCGGCTTTTGGCACGGTCTACAGAGCAGGAAGGCCAAGGAAGAGCACTCTTCTTCTGACTTTCCTTACTCCTCCTAAAATGAGGATTACAGGAGTTGGAATAGGAGTCCTCCATCTGGACATTATTTCAACATTGTGTTGAAATAACTGTTGTAGTGTAGATGCAGACTATGGTATTTCGGAATAACATCAGTAATTCTGAAATAACGCTGCTTTGTAGACATGCCCTAAGTTCTTTGCATTCAAGATCACCACAATCTTCAAGTTCAGTTGGTCAGGTGTATTACTGGAAGGCGATGCTCTTGTGGTGTCGGAATGCCAC